TTATTTTCCTCCCTCTACTGCACCTATTTTCCATTTTATGCAAGTTTTGATGCTTTTAATAATCTTGGCAAGAGACAGAAAAGTGAATGTCTTTAATAAGTGAGTCTGGACAATTTGGAATAGCCCATGGCTGCCAAGGTGGAATTATGGAGCAGTTCACTTCAAACAAAAGTACAAGACAGCATCTTACCTTGAAAAAGCCCCATCTATTTTGCCACGTGACTGTTGCCTTATCCCACTGTTCATGAATATGGTGGAGTTAACGAAGTGAAAAAAACCACTAGAGGATAAATTCATCCCAGGTATTGCAAAGTCTGCTTTCAACATATAATCTTTACTGACTCTTTTTCTGTTTAATACTCATGTAATTCCAGTGAGGGATGTGGCATTAAGCTCTGATGGGCTTGTAGTAACAAACTGACAGAGAACTGAACTAATAAGCTATTCTAGTGAGTTAAATAAAAGCACGTCTGCCCACAGACCATAAGAATAGGGACAATGCTCCCTTCTGAAGAGGTACATTTCTTCACAGTAACTGACCCTCACATTTTTGAGGCCAAATTTTCAGTATTAAAAATTCAACCAATTCACATCACCCTAACAGTACCTTGATTTTCAGACCAGTATGCGCTGTAATATATGTAATATGTTATGTATATATATATCTATGTATATTATATTATCTGTAACATATGTAATATATTATAGAATCCTAGAATCATAGAATAGATTGGGTTGGAAAAGACCTCCAAGATCATCAAGTCCAATCCCTGATCCAACTCCAATTACTATATCATGACACTAAGGGCCACATCCAATCTCTGCTGAAAAACCTCCAGGGATGGTGAATCCACCACCTCTCTGGGTAGGCTGTTCCAATGCCTGATTACCCTCTCCGTAAAGAATTTCTTCCTAACATCTAACCCAAACCTCCCCTGGCAGAGCTGGAGCCCATGTCCCCTTGTCCTATTGTTGGTTGCCTGGGAGAAGAGACCAACCCCCACCTGGCTATAACCTCCCTTCAGGTAGTTGAAGAGAGTGATGAGGTCACCTCTAAGCCTTCTCTTCTCCAGACTAAACAACCCCAGCTCTCTCAGCCTCTCCTCATAGGACTTGTGCTCAATGTATATATGTGCTCATATGTATATATATTATATTATATTATATTATATTATATTATATTATATTATATTATATTATGCATAATATATGTAATATATTATCATTTTCTTATGGTCACAAAACTAGTCATTTGACTCTAAGTATCTCTACAGCAGGAACCAGTCCCTAAGATGCCCATTTTTGCTTCCCTTTATAGCCATTTAGGAGGAAAAAAAAAGTGTTTACCATGGTATTTTTTCATGACAAACTTTAAAACTGCCCAAACCCCTTCTCCAAAGGAGAGGTAAGAGTGTATAGAAACTAGCTGAAAGTTGTCTTCATTTTATTATTCATATCTTATCCTTATTATTCAAACTTTACCCCCAGAGGCATTTGGGGTGAGGCTCTTGGAGGGGCAGTGCTTTTAAGACAGAGGTAGCTGAGGCCCTGATCTGACTGGAAAGGCTGAACAACTGCATGGCCACAACTGCCTGATGTAATACAGAACATGTATTATCCTGGCTGATGGCTCAGGGAACTAAAGCTCTCTCCTCTCACCTCTGTGATTAATCCACACTTGAAACTTATGGCTTCTTTAGATCAGAGAAATAAAAGGTAGGGAGCAGTAAGTGTCTGGTTAGAGAATTAGCTGAGTAATCTGAATCAGCTGGCAACACAGAGGTGTCTATTTTGACACACAATAGCACAGAATGTATAGATCTTTTCTAAGCTCCAGGAAAATGTTCTGCTTTCTGTTGAGCTCAGTGAAATAGATATGGATTCTCTGCAACCCTCCTGTTATCACTAAAGTATTTAAATGCTTTACCTCTTATCTCCATCATGCTGTGAATTAAAATGACTGAGCGAATGTTCTGAGACTTTAAGCTATCAGTCTGGAGTTATTAAAAAACATATTTACAGACAGAGTCAATAAGGAAGCAGATTTACTGCTTTTTAAGAAGATAAGATGAGGAGAAGGGAACAAGATTTCTTTTATTCCATTCTGGGCCAAATAATGGTTAAACCCAAATCATTTCTTTCTCTATCCTTCAGCTATGTAGTGAAATCAACACATTTTCTGAGCACTGAGAGGAGTTTCTTATGGTTCACTCTTCTCAGACAAAAATGATTGTCCAAAATTGAGAACCCAGTGGTCCTGTCTTTAGGGCAGAGCTGTCAAGAATGAAGAGAATTTGCAGAACATTTCTTTGTTTTACCGAAAATGTCTCAAATTCATTACATCTTCAAGAAAACAAATGCATGCATTGCACAGGGAGATCTTGCCATCAAGAAAATTATGACCGGATATATTCATGGTAAAAAACAAAACCATAAATATAACCAATATATAACCCTGACAAAGAACAGTATTTTGTTCAGGGTAAAACATCTACATAATCACTTGGTCAAAGTTTATTCAAAATACAAAACTAGTCTCTTATTTTTCTAGAAGTGAAGTTGGAAAATGTGGTCCTGGTTTTCTGGTATGTTCTGTTGTATCAAATCACATAGTTTAAAACAGTACAAAACCCCTGTCTGTGGTTGCATCTAACATGCAGTTTCAACCCACAGAAATTATCAAGCCCAATATACAGTTTTTGCATTATATATATGTACAAACTCATCTACACATATACTGCCTAAATGTGTTTGCATTACTTCCTAAGCTCTTGTAAGGCATAAGACAACACAGTCAAATAGCCTACCATAGCACATTCCCCTATCAAACAGAATGTGAAATAATTAGAAACTCAGTGTAACTTCATTCAACTTAAGCAAATGGATTATTTACTGGTGAATTTCCTAGGTGGGCTGGTAGGGACCTATGGAGGTCCTAAACTTCCTCTTGTACCAGAACCCTGAGTGATGTTTCCCAGTACTGTCATGCCTCCTCTATGTCCAGACAATTCCTTTACCATGCTATAATGCATGAAGAACACTCTAGAATAATTTTCAATCTACAAGGCAAGTGCTTTAAGGAGATGGTCTGCATGTAACCCATAAACTCTGAAGTTTTCATATCATAGGTAGCATCTACTCATTGTGGGTGGGGAGGGAAGGCAAACCTGAACTGTAGTAGCCCCAGCTCAGTTAGACCTTATGTGAACTACCCTTCTATGGAAATACATGTGGAGAGAAGTTAAGGCAATACATGCCACCTTCCCTGTGCCTGGAAACAGCTGTGCTTTCACTCATCCCCCCTAACTTTAGACCTCTGCCTCCGGCAGTGATCTTCTCTCTCTCCAGTGACAGAAAAAGAAATTAGGTAAGTCTCTGCCCATAATTTAAGCCATTGCTGAGAACCTGAAATTAGGTGGGATGATTCTAACTTTCTGTTAATGACCTGTCGTGGTCCATCTCCACTTAAATTTCTAGATGCATCTTCAGTAATCGGGCATTTCAATCACTGAAATTGCCCTTTCCCAGCCTGAGATTACACACTGCTACCTATGTGTTCATGATGGTCAGTGCTACAAATGAGCCTAGCAGGTAGTCTTGCATGGCACGTCATGGTCGTGTACCTTGTGCATGTATCCTAGCTTTCACACTGACACAGTAGCTAATTATAAAAGCAAATTGTAAGCCTATCTGTTTGTCCTTGCCTGTTGCCAAGTACTATTTAGTTTGATGTGGGACAATAGTATCAAGATGCTTGAACCAAAGCTGATATATAATAAGAAAATGATGTTAAGAGAAAACAATTACAATAAGTAACCTTCCTCATAAGGAAAAGAATCAGAAAAAATATACACAGTTCTACCACTTTACATGTTCTTTCATTTTAGTAATAACTTGTATGTCAGAGGAAAAATTTCACTTCATGTAATAAAATTACAACTGTTGTTTCAGTTTGTTTGATATTTATAACAAATGAAGACATATATAGTTCTTTTTATTGACTTATAAAAATTCAAAAATTTCTTGAGGGCCAGGCGTCCAATCCTGAAAGATCAGGAGAACTTTTTTTGTTTATAAAAGAGATGAAAAAGAAAAAGATAATACAGGTTTAGACTATCCAAGTGAACTTTTGGATCCATTATTCCAGATCTGTCTGGTTACTTTGTCTGTGACTTTGATCCAGCCAATGTCTACAGCTGTGCATAATTTTATATATTCTGACCTTCGTGCAGTCAATAAAAAAGAAGATTCATCTAGTGCATAACTAATTGCACATTAACATCTTAAACAGTATCACAGCACAGGAGGGATCATCTTTTTCACCTTTGGACATCTTTTCAAATTGTGATAACCTTACTAAAATTTACACACTTCCTATTCCTAAGGCACTAAGAAGCAAACAAAAGCAAATCGTTGCTCAGAATACATATCAATTTTTTAACTTCAGGATTTCTGGAGTAAAGCTGAATTCACTAATTCCGAAATTTCTGAAACTTTTTTCTGAGTTTAGTCATTTGTTTTTACATATGTTATGTTCAGTTTTATATTCTAAATCCACAAGTCTTCAAATTGAGCCACTTAGCATATGGAAGAGCTGGCATTTCTATTAATGTGGTCCAGTACTAGCACGCAATCTTTGCTTTTTATATTCTATTTGGTTGCCAAACCCAGGCATAGATTGGAATAAGCTGTCCATAGGTAAACTTGCCAAATTCCCATTCAGTTGACAACATCATATTCTTTTATAAGTCATAAGGATTGAGGATCATTTTCATTTCCCTTGCTCACTAGAAGAAATCTCTGTGGCTGAGACTCAAGTTACTGAAACATAGAGGAGAAAAAGAAGTGCCACTGTCCATGTACCATAAATGTTGGACAATACAAGGGGATCTGGTTTGATGAAAGAGTGGTACCATATCAAGGTGCTGAGTGTCTATTCATTTCTAACAGAGATGCACCATGGCTTTGTAACAAACAAACAGAAGCAGGAAAGCAGTTCTTTTCTTCATTTTCTCCAATTCATAACTGTTTCAGCTATTTATGGCTGGCTGTTTCCACCCAACCTTCTGGAGGCATTTTTGTTCCCCATGACCCTTCAGCACTTTTTCTGGATGCCTCTGCCTGTAAAGAAAGACAGGGTTGGGTTTTGATTTATCCCTGATAAGAATTAAAATATTTTTCCAGTTGTGGTGGAGAAAGAGTGCTTGCAATGGCTTGACCTGCCCTGGCAACTCTCTGTGTTTATTAACTTGCCTGAAACATTTGTTTTGGGATGTCAGGTGTTAATCTCAATTAATGCTGAATTTTTTTGCAGGAGACTATTGGAAAACAACTTTCTGTTAGAACTGTTCTAGTTTTACAGCAAAATACCTAACATTTATGTAGAAAAATCTGAAGCAGAATAGTTGATATATTTTAATATTTTGCTAACATTATGCATTATTGGACTTTGTTTAATCACATTTTTAATTTAAATTAAAATCTGTCTCCTTACTGTGACTAGAAGAAAAAATACTTTCACCTCCACTATGTTGTGTACAAAGACATAATAGCAAGTTTAGGAAGCAGTACAGTCTATTTCTGGATGGCAGATGCTTTGTGGTGTAATCATTATTCATTGGCTGCAGGGATTTTTAGGCAGACTGCCAAGCAGCCCATGTGCCTCTGCTTATTGCCACATTTCTTAAAGGTAGGTTTTTAATTGGAAAGGGGAGAGATCATGTGTGATTTGCTATATGATTTTTGACAAGTAGTATTTTAAATTGTGTGTTACGCCATTTTTTCACATGCTGGAAACTTTGGAGAATGTGATCTGCCTCTGCAACAATCATACATTAAACTATAAAGCTCCATAGAATGCAACTGTTGATAGCAAGAGAGGAAAACTGGGAAATTGTTGACACTGTGCTGCAGTTCGGGCCCTTGGGTAATTGTATGCAAAATGTAATGCACATATCCATCATAAAGAGCAATGACATGTTTATTAATGCATTCCTTCTCCAAGGCAAAGTGCTCTTACCAGCTACTTTTTATCTCTACCTAGACTTGTATCTTCATATATATTTTGTATAATATGCCCATCCCATATGGCAGTGGATAAAACACAGATCTACAGATGAGTCTAATTCCAGGATTTGATGGGCATGACAAACATATGGTTTACATCTTCTAGACCATATCTAAGATTCTACAGATGTCACCAGATCCTTAGGTCTTGATCTGCAGATATAGGATGTAGTCCTATAGGGATAATAATATAGGATTTTGTCTTAGAGGAACTAGAATATGATGAAAAGATTAATACATTTCTTCACTGCAAACTTGAAAGGTACAATTTTCACATTTGAATGTCTAGAACTCATACATCAATTTCTAGCTTTTAGCTTACTTCAGTGCTGTGAACTTTATTTCAACACCTCCGAATGAAAATGTCACCCAGGTATATAGATGTCTTAATAGATGGGCTTCTCATGTGCATGTCAGCAGCATAGATGTGTACATCTGAGCTGGTCATCTAACTCTTCTTTAAGAGAGCAAGAGGAAGAGACTCCTGTAAGGCACTGCTCATGTCTTCCAGAAGTAGAGTTTTAAAGTAGATCTGTTAACCACACCCAATTTTTTTTTTTTTTCATACGTTTGCAATAAAGAGAAGCTTGGGAGTTAGCCCCTATATGGATATCTGCAGTGTGGATATTACACACACCTTGCATGTTAACCCACAGAGCAAATGGCACACGACTAAGTTTAACAACTGGAAGCAAGAGGGACATCAAATGAGGAAAGAGTAGAGCTGCTAATACACTAATACAGCCTGCTAAGCTGTTACACAAGCCCTCTTTCATGTTCTTTAGCATACTAAATAGAAAGAGAGAGAGAAAGAGAGAGAAAGAGAGAGAGAAGGAGAAAAGAAGGCAGGAAGGAAGGAAGGAAGAAAATAAGGAAAGAAGGAAGGAAGAAAGGAGGGAAGGAGGGAGGGAGGGAGGAAGAAATGAAGGAAGGTAGGAAGGAAGGCAGGAAGGGAGGAAGGAAAGAAGCAAGGTAGAAATTTTTGTGATGTGCTGTCAATAAGGCTGAGCGTCCCTGCAGTCTGCTGGGGTGACTCAGTCGTTGGTGGTAGGAAGGAGACCAGCAGGTAACAGCATCCCACCTGAATTGTAGTGAAGATATGGGGCCCTGTAGAAGTTACTGCCATCTCCTGTGCTTGCACCTACACCTGGGAGCCCCTTTCCATCATCCATCCTGCATCTTTCTTATCTTCCACCATCTTATGAAGATACTGTGAGAGATCACTAGGGGTCAAGAAGACTGTAATAAGATATATGACTAAAAACAATGAAGCAGAAATAAAACCAAGCAGAATAAGTATATAGAAAAAAAAGTTTCCAAAACTTACTAACAGTGAAGTCTCAACAGGCAGAAAAGACAAGCAGTTCATCATTTAAAGGCATTTTCTTCAATGTCTTCAAGCCTGACCTTCAAAGGCATTACACAGCAGACAGTCACAGTATACTCACAGATTGGCAGACCTGTGATCAAAATGACACTCCTGAAAATACTTCTGCATGTAATCTGATGCTTTAGCTACTTTAATAACTTTAGCTATTTGACACTTTTCTCCACCTTCTTTAACCTTTCTAGTGCACCTGCTCAACTGTCTTCCAAAGATCTCCTGTGATGCTCCATCAGATTACTACTTTCCACTAAGTTTCCAGGGTATGAATAAAAATATCCAGGCTCTCATGCCTGCTCCCTCTCTAATTTATCCACCCCTTTTAGGAAACCTGACTGACTGTAGATATTAGTTTGAATTATGCAGACCAAATCTGCTAAGCTTTCAAACAAAATTTTATGAGTAGGTGTCATCCTCTTCCCACTTGGAGAACAGCATTTTGGTTTTCCTTTTCCTTGTGCACCCTGACTGCTAAGGTTAGGATATGCCTTAACAGAGTTTATTTTACACTATGTGAAAACTTCAGTGTGGCAAGCCTACAAAAGATAGAGAGGCTCCATTGTAGAGTGTGATGCTGAACTGGCACAGGACAGATTAAAGTCATAGTGGGTAAACCTGGGTTGCTGGAGGCTACTGTGTGTTGTCAGTTGGCAGGGATTTTCCTGTATGCACTGTGACTAGGAAGCATCGTAAAGGTGAAGTAGGGGTACAGAAACTCTTTTCCATCCTTCTGGGAATGTGAGAGGGTATTGTTGCTGGCAAGGTATGGAAGGGAGAAGGGGGATGAACTCATCAGTCAGGAACATCAGGAGTTCAAAGCCACTTTCCCTACTCTTCAGTTGCCCAGAAAAAACGGAGGTCTGAGATGTTTAGGGAGGAAGGAATATCTCAGAAAAAAAAAAAAAAAAAGAGCCTGCAAAAGGTTCTCAGACTCCAAAGAAGTCCTTAAGGATAAAAATAAAAAGGAACAAAAAAAGGTCTGGTCTGAATGATTAAGCAGCTTTTTCCATCTCTAATTTCTATGACTTCATACTTGTATGTTGAAATACAGACTCCACTAAAATGGATGATGAAACTCCCACTGAATTCCAGGAGCTAGGCTTTTATCTGTAGTGTCTAAGGAGAACTTTTACTTATTCTAAAAGTCCTAAGTGCTATTTGATGAATTTCCAGCTGCCATAAAAACTGTTGTCGTCTTACCAGTACTGCAAGCACAATTCCGTTTTAAAAAAAGATCTGTACAAATATAAGTAGTTCCATAAGTAAAAGGCTTCCTTTCTGTTTCTCGTTGTCTTTAACAAGAGATATTTGCACTGATCAGTCTGAGAACTAAAAAAATAGTTATCCTACAGATCTGTAACTAAACCTTAATAAAATAAAATCTCCAAATCTATTTGGTCTGTATGCTATGTGTCACCTTTTTTTTATGCTGACAGCTCCTGCTATAAGCAGCTAACAGCCTGAAGTGAAGCTCCCAGACTCCCCTGGTCTATAGCTACAAAGGGAATAAGGGAGATCTGCAGGAAATTTGGAGAAGCCAGTTTGTTCCACATGGATGTGCACATTGCAACTACTATGAAATGTGGAAAGCAGGAGAATACTTTAAATGCTCCTTCCATTTCCATGTTAAACTCCCCTCCCAGCACCACTGTGGCACAGCTGTCCATCTCGGTCTCGTTCCTTCCCCTGGCTGAAAAAAGGTGATGCCACATCTCCCGTGCTCCTGCAACCCATTTTTGGGGGGAGGAACTAATGAGGGGAATGCAACATATCATTTCCCTGGCAACATTTTAACTTTTTGGTTTAGGAATGAAATATTCATGAGCAGGGTAAGCAGAAACTAGTGTAAGTTCTCTTCTGTGGTTTAGAGCCTTTCTCTTGATGGAAAGTAAGCACCTTCTCAGGGGCAGAAGAGTATTCAGTAATTCTCAGACTTCTTAAATGCTGTCACAAAAGACACATTTTCTGGAGAGGGTAAGAAAGGACTGTTACCTCTTCCAGTTGTCGTGAGGGGGAATGGCTAAAGACACTGTCTTGTAGAGACCTGGTTTGTGTAGGCGTTTTTTCACCTCTGGATGAGGAAGGCAAAGCAATGTCCAGCCTGTGGATCCCAGGATCAATTAGAGCATAAGTTACCTGGGCTTTCTGGGCTTTCTGATTTTGTTAGGACATATATCTTTCTCATAGTGTTTCCCATTTTACAATTGCAGCAGGCACTGCAGTATTTCCAGTCCACCCCCTGATACTGGAAATGCTCAAGTTTCCCTCTTTGGAAGGGCCCAGATGTTGCGTGAGACCACCATCAATCTCAAAAAGAAGGGCAGGCCTATGTTTCCTCACTAGGTTTCCCCATCTGTGTCCAGGTTTCAGCTTCCACCCATACCACCTGGGTAGCCACGAACATGTGGTCAAACTCACCTCTCAAGAAGTACCAAATGCTTAAAGCAAATCAAAAAGGTTAGGTGTGCTGAGTCATCCTGGTTTGTAATCAAAGAGAGAAAAAATATATATGCAACAAGGGTGACAGACTGTTCAAGCACAACACAACACCACACAATTTTGTTTGCTGTTGACTTCATCCAGGAACTGTCTTTTGATGGGACTCCTTTCCACACCATCTGTATAGCAATGCCTCTTACTCTCCCTCTCTCACTATGTGATGTGGATAATATTTGTGTGGTTTCATTCCTGCAAAACACTAGTTCCTCTTCCCATTGATGTTTGTGCCAGATACTTTTCCAGGTTCTTTCATTTTTAATTCATTCTCTTTTTTGCCTGTCTTAAATGTTCTCATGTGGTTATAATTGCTTTTAGTGAATCTATGCTCCTTAAAAGTAACAGACAAGTCAGTATGCTGGCACAGTCCACAGCAGACAGATTACAAAGTTGTGTTCAAGTCTGTTGAGACTTCTTCCCTTATTGACAGAATGGAAAACAATATCTGAAAAGAATAAAGCTAACTTCAGAAAATACTATTTTTGTCCTGCAAATGTCAAGTTAGTGCCTTTTTTTTATCTTATGTGGGAAATGGTAAGGAAAAAATGAGATTTGATTAAAATCACGTGCACAGCAACATGAATAATTAATTACATGAAGATCATTAATAATCTTTCTATCAAAGTGTTGGGAGCTTTTTTTCCCTTTAGTTTTCCATTTTTTATAAATTATCATTATTACCTTGTTTCTTTCAGACATTGAGGCCTCCTAAAAAGCCTTTAGATAAGGATTGAATTTACCAACCATAAAGCAAAGCAGAGACCTGTTGATGCTGATGCAGAAGAAATACCACTGTGCAGAAAAGAATCTTGTAAGGCCATTAGCCTTCACCTATATTTTGCAAGACAAACAACTTTACAGTTTTTGATGTCTCTAAATTTATTCCTGAATTCATCTTCCTTAGGTATTTAACATGAGACATATGAATTGATCAAAATTATACATACTTACCAACCTTCCATACGTTACAAAACAATTAAACTAAAATGCATTAGATTATCACCATACAAATTAGCAATATGTCATTCATTGTCTCAAATGAATTTATATCAATTTGGCTGTGCTGCAAGTCTGACGAAACAAGAAAAAATTCCCTGCCTTGGGGAAATTCCTTGGTATCAGCTCTTTCCATATTCTAAGAATAAGCAATCAGTTGCGTGTGTCTTAAAGCAAAGAAAAAAATCATGGAAGTAAATATCTCTTCCCCATAAATGCTTACAGACTGAATATTCTGAAAAAGAATTTTTGAGATACTAACAGTAAAACAGCATGAGACAGAAGAGAGACATTTTTTACAAGAAAAATCAGCAAGAAAACAATCAAAATCATCTCTTGCATGTAACAGAAAGCAGAACTGCCAGGGAAGCTTTTTGCTTTGTAACAGACTGGTTTCTAGCAGGAAGGGAGAGCTAAAGAATGATAGTTTATGCAAGTAAGTTGAGAAAATAGAGACTAACAAATTTAATTGTATTAACACGAAGTATAAATAAATTCCATGTTTATATTTGGATGGTGAAAAATGTATTGACAATTAAATGAAAAAGCAAGAGTTTTTCCATTGCTCTGAATAATACAGCACCTTAGCAAACTGCCTAGAAAATCATCAAAATGAGACTGTGAAGCCTACCTGTGCTGAATGGAATCGCTTTTGCTGGAGAGAACTAGGGTCACACTACTCAACAGAATTAAATTTGTTATGGCAGTTTAGTAGCCAAACAACAGAGAATACACTGGAAATGTATAACACATTTCTTAGCTAGACTGTGGCTTTCTGAATACTTCAATACTACAGACATGGAAAAAAGCTTCCAGGAAGTAAAATCTCACTATGCTTCCCCAAAAAAATACAAAATATGGAAAGATATTTATGAAAGGCTTAGATTTCCATCTTTTTTATATTTGTGTTTGGACTCCATACCTATGAGAAGTCCCAAAGACTGTATATCTTACAAGCTAATATGCCATCTTTGTTGAAATTAATTATGATATGGATAAGTTTTGCCAATCTCCGTACAGGAAAATGTGCTGTGATGGAATTCAGGTCACCTGGGAGAGCATTTGGCTTCCTTTCCTGTGAGCTTGTCCTTTCTTTGTGAACCCTTTTTTCACTACAAACTTGTCATATTCTGCAGCAAAGGAATCAGGAATCCAAATGGATAAAAACTATGTTCTTACCACATGACTCTGTTTCAGTCTCAGCTTATATATGAAGGCCTGCTTAACCTCTTGATCTGGTCTATCAAAAAGAGAAGAAAAGGAAAAAGAAAAAGTGAAAAGTGAAAATTGAACTTTATCTAAAATTCCCAGTGTCTTCTTTAAAAAGCATTTTTGAAAAGAAACCCTGGGGTTATTTTTTTCTTTATTCATGTAACTTCACAGTAGCTTGATTTATAGTGTGGACCCACAAGCAGCTTTCCCTGGCCGGCCTGAAAGAGTCAGGAGCCTCAGAGCAGGACGTGAGAAGATGCAGTGAGGTAAAGAGTGCAGGGAAAGGAAGCAAAGAATACATGTCTGTTATCAAAGTTGTTGTTCACATAACTGTTCTGAGGACATATGACGTTCAAACTATACCTCTTCCAAAGAAGCTAAATTTTGTATTGTTATTTTCATTTCCATTCTATTGGAGATTTCTAGAGCTACAAGTAAATCCACATACAACCTTCTGGAAAATTTGGGATCTCCTACTCTAAATTAATCCATTCTTGTTTTAATGAATAAAGCCAATAAAAAGTGAGTATTTATGTTTTGTAATAAATGTAGAAGTTGTGTTAATAGCTTTAATTTAGAATTGCAACAAATTTATTTTTCAATTTCCTATGAATTGCAATTTTTATAAAAGTTATGATACTTATTTTGTCAGCACATCAAAATGTCATATCAGAAGTGCAAAAATTCTTGAAATGTTTACTAAAACTTGTGTTTTGGTACATGACAAACCTCATTGGCATATCTAATCTGTGCAAACTTAATAAATCAGCTATGCCACACACAACAAATGGGTATTTCATCAGCTTCACTGAGACTTCCTATAAGAGACAGAGCTACTTCCCTGATTAAAGAAAAGATAGATACTAAGTTCTGTTCTCAGATATATTAAGACAAATCTGGAATGCTTCCAGTTTAGGTCAAATTACTTTAGCTTTCCAAAGAAGTTGCACTGTGATGTAATTGGTATCATCACTCAATTTTCACTCATGAGGAACATAATAATATTGTCCACAACCTGCAAGTC